ATATAGGTTTGCATTTATATTAAATTGTATGCCGTCGATGTACGCATTACTATGTATGAATACTAAATGTATACGACATTTATTTCAATTAGCGTCGTGGCACATGAAATGTGTTGTCAATGACAAGTCTTGTACGTCATTTATAAATACATAGATATGAGATTGTGGTTGTAAGCTCATATATTCACGTACCGTAAGTATGATAGTTATGTGTGCCTGTGTGTGTGTGTGTGTGCGTGTGTGAGTGCACGCCTTTGTACCCATAACTGAGCCACAAATGAGTTTAGCATTAACTTTCTGTCAATCTCATCATTCTGGATGCATTAAATTTTCATATCCTTCTCGCTCTTTCTCCCATGCTACTATGTAAGCATATATGTGTGCGGATGTTATGCTTACTTGTGCGCGCGTGTGTTTGTGTGTGTGTGTGTGTATGTTTCTTTTTGTTTATTTAGTTAGGTATGTAGGCTATTCGTTTGCTTTCGTGTTTTTGCGTACATGTGTATGTTTAAGTAAATTGCTTGAAATCGAAACAAAATTAGTTACATATGTAGATATGTTTGATGCAAGAATTTAGGTATGCAGCAGTTGATTGTTAGTTTTTTTTTTTTTTTTTTTCTATTTTTTTCGTTTCCCCATCTCTTTATATGCTGACATTCATTGGAACACACATATTTATGCGGGTATAAATGCAATTGCTGCCAGCATTACATACGTTCTGCCCTCGTCTTCTTCCTCTTCTTCTTCTTCTTCTTCTTCTTCTTATTCTGTTCTTCTCTTCTCGGGTCTTTTAATCAAACATTTCTACTGAAAATTATTTTGGCCCGCTTTATAAAATGATAATCAACATTATTCTGGCACAATGAAATAACAGTAAGCTTGAGAATGCCATTGCGTTGCATGTCCTTAACTTGAATTTGTATATCGTAGAATGTAATAGTGCATGTTCGGCACAAATTTCACTAACGTATTCTCTTTGGTCTTGCCATGCTCTACTAGGGCATATATGATTGCGCTAACAGTAGCAGTAGCGTTGATTGAATACAAACATTCTTAATAAAGTACCATCATTTGCACAAATGAGTTAAGGTTCCTTTCCTTTCCATAAGCACTAGTGTCAGCGTTAAAGGCAAGAAAATCATCTTTCGCTATATTCGCAATTATTGTACAATGATGTTAATGGAGATGACGATGACGATGACGATGACGACTTACATACCCTCATACCCCGCCTCTCCTACATCTATATAATGTCGAATAGCAACGATTTGGCATCGCATTAACCACAATCAAATGAAAATTATATGAAACGTTAGCTATTATAAATGCTCTCTATATGTCTGCCTGGCATATGCATCCATCTATTATTGCGTAATGAACCGCCACAAATTATGCGTTAGGGTTTTCTTTCCTTCCATTTCGACTCGTTTTCTTTTCCATATTTTCATACTTGGCAGGAATTATATTATTTGTTTACTTGTTTGCTTACTTGATTTGAATCGGTATGAGTGTCTGTTATAATATAAACATTTCTATATGTATACGTACGTAAGTACATGTGTAATATATATATATATATATATACATATATATTAATAATATGCATTGCCTTAAAGTAAATAAATTAATGAAATTTTTTTTTTTTTTTTTTGCTTTACAAGAAATTGAATTTTTCCCATTTCGCAAAAAAAAACAAACAAACAAAAAAAAAGAAAAACAAAAAAAGACAAAGCACAAGTAAAATAAATTTATAAAAGAAAGAAAATTATTCCTTTGAGTAATTAAAAATTAGCGTATAAATAATTGAATTATCAAGTAAATACAACCATAAATAAAGTATAATAATTAAAGCAATAAGTAATACAATGAAGTAAATTGTTATTTAATAGAACCCCCGAAGCTGTAAAGAATTGCATGAGGGTACGGGCTTACATAAATATCCTCACACTGTATATCTTTATTCGAAAGTCTTTATCAGAACTGATGTGTGTCACGGCTGCCTATCCTTTATGCATATACTTGCGAATTGGACATAAAGACTCTATGTGATAATTATGTAAAAACGGGTTTAAAGAAAATCTATTTAGATCTACGAGTTTTGGGAGACTTGCTAGATTTTACACCAATGTCCACTGAGGACGTCATTATTATGTAAGATTCTTTAGTGGTTTTGTTATAAAATATGTCCGAAAATATGATTGACATTTAGAAAAGCTACAAAATACGCAAAAGCAACTTTCTGCTGAATTCAGACAATCTCGATTTTGAAAAGAAAAAATTTTTTTATTTATACAATGGAGCTTTAATGTTTTCTTCTTAAATGCTTTACAAGGAGCGTAGGAATGGAAATAAACTGAAGGCAGCATATGTATATGAAAATTATATTTCTTTAATTTAATATTACTTCAATCACATCATTAACAGTGACAAGCACTTCATCTTAGGCCACAATTAATTTAATTAGCTGAGCAATATTTTTTAAAGGTAGATATTCAATTTCTTAATCCAATTGCAGCCTTATTTTTTAGAGAAATTTATTTCTTTGCTTAAAACGAGCTAAACTTTTCTTTAAGCTATTAACTATTGTTACCACTTCCACTTACCACCTGTAGTTGGTTTAAGTTAAATAAAATTGATATTTTGAAATGATATATTAGGTCGTCTTGATAGTCTTACTTAAAAAGCCTAATTATTCCATTGAGTTGAGGTGTTCTTATAAAAACGATTAATTTTTGTTTTTTTCGATAAGCGCAGCTAGTAAGTAAGTTTTCTAGCTCACATTAAATTTTTGTTGTCGAGTCTCTCGAGCAACTGGTACAGAGTATGTTTAGTAATAGAGTTTGAATAGTTGAATAGCTTTCTCTGACTTATATGTAAGTACTTTGTGATGAAAGTCTTACAGATTTTTAGGATCTCTCTTCTTCGCTCTCGCTCCCTCACTCTCTCTGTCTCTCCCCTCTCTCTTCCTCTCCCACTCTCTTCCTCGCCCTCGCTCTTCCTCTCCCTCTCTCTCCCTTTCTCTTTGTCTCTTCTTATCATCCGCTTGCTATTTATTACGCATTTCCTTTTATTCTTACATAGAACACATCGAACATATAAGTGTGCAGTTTAGTGTCGCCAGAAAAACATCCATAAAGCAGATAAAATCGTAGAAGCAACAGATACGTAAAGTTTTATGGCAAAACAATACGTAACAGCCAAAGTCAATATGTTGCAAATCAAATGCTATGCATATGTTGAACTTCCCACACTTATACGCATCAAAAAAAAAAAAAAAAAAACAGTAGTGATCCAGTAACGCAGGCAACCTACAACTACATAGACATATATGATGCATACTGACTGTTTGCTAAATTAAGCTGGTTGAAAATGTTTATGGCTTCAATACACGTTCTGCAGTCATTGCTTTTGCATTAAAAGTCACTAATTAGGCAGCAGACATAAACACCCATAACACGAGCACAAGCATATATATATATGGGCGCGTGTAACTGCGTATCATTCCTTTACCGTAATAAAGCAGTTTATATAAAGAGGTTGAAGGTGAATAGTGAAATAAGGATTGCAGTGTGTTTTAAATAAACTAAAACTCTACGTAAAAGCGGCACGAGTTGTATATAAATATATATATATATATCTTCCTTGATTGCCACGATTCGAAATATTGCAGTGAGTGTATAGCAAAGCAAAATGCAAGCAATAATTGTAACATTTCCATACTTTTTTCTAAGCGTGTCATTATGTAAGCAATCGTCATTAGTGGGAATTATGTTCATTACGTGTGATTACATTAAGATTACGTTATGGGTTCATAGAATATGTTTCCTTTTCTCCTTTTTAATTTTAATTTTTTTTTTTTTTTTTTTGTTTCCTTTTTCAAATTCTCGTAACCTAATTACTAGTCAGCAACTGATGTAAGTTAAATTTTGTTGCTGATAATCGTTCAAAAATTTATCGTAGTATCTGTGTACCAAGAAGTCAATTAGAAGAGAATGATATTGTTTTGTTTTCTTATTGGTCTTCAAATAGTAGAAAACATACTTTTTAACAAAATTAAGAATATTTATGTGAAAATTTTACACAAAATAATGCTGAAAAAGTCCAGCAACAAATGTTTTGTATTTATTATTACCCCACTGGCAAATTTGCATTGAACTTAATAACAAACATTATAAGAATTAATTTGCTGTGAATATTCTTTGCCTTAACTAACTACATACATGCTTGCACACATGCAATTTCCAGGCATTTATGCATCTATGTATGAGTGCATTTTATTGTAAAGGCAACATCCTGTTAGGAAGTTCAATAACACTTGACATCCTAAACAACAAAAATGGAGGCATAACGCACACGATAATCGGCAACAGCAACAGCAACAGCATCGGCATCGACATTAGCAGACCTCCTCTCTTTCTCTCTTCAAATGTACAAACGGATGAACATGAAAATTTCTTGTTGCTTGCTTAACCATAGAGAACAAGAAATCTACATAAATAGTTTCGCACACGATCTTACATATATATATATATATATATATATATATATAAATAAAAGTTTATGCTTGTTGTGTAATTTTTCTGACTACATAGTAATGTTGGGTTTTTAACCAAAAACCGCATTAGAATGCGTTCGAAAGGAAATCGGAAATAGAGCAACAAAGTTGTTCTATACAAGTGCATATATAGATATATATGTATATATATTGTATATATATATATATATATATATATATATATACATTTATGCGTATACATACATACAAATTATTACGCATGTTTATGTTGTAGTTTGGAGAATGTTATGAAAAAAATAATTTTTTTAACAAATGATTTCATTCTTGTTGTAATTTGTGTAAAGTACATAATACTATCTATATACGGAACTATTGAATTTTTGTTGTTCTTGCTATTATTGTTATAAAGCGCAAACAAAATACAAACTTATAAATAACAGTTTTTTAATTTTTATTTCTTTTTTTGTTTTACTTTTGCTTTAAGGCCACTTATCACAAATGTATGTTTGAAGGCATATATCGTCAATTCGTTGCAAATTTAGACAAAATTTCTCTTAAGAACTGGAAGCTAAAGAGAAAAAGATCTTTCAACACCGAATTTATGGGAGACTAACTTGGCCAATAAAGGTAAATGCTATGCTTACCTAATAAGAACGATTAAGTTTAGATTTAAGATTTCCTAGCATTTTCTAGGTTAGATATGAGGCAGATCAATGTATTCAATATTCTTTGAGAGGCTAGTCCATCCAAAATGAGTCTTTGGGGACACCCGAAAAATAATATCTCTTTCCCTACGCCGTCGAGTTACAGAAAAGATGAGTATTTCTTGAAGATCTGAAAGATGACTATGTAATCACTTACATTATTCGATAGGAAATATTTCTCACTCCTCAAGTTGAGTTGTAATCTATTGTAATGAGTCTTAACGACTACCAGGTTACATAATAAATAAATAAATTATACATTTCGCTCAAATTCCTTGTTATTGATGAGAAGGGTTTTTCCTTTATATAGGAATCCGGCTTTGATCTCACACGTCTCTATTTTGCCCTAGTTCTTGCCGCCTGTAAAGGAAAGAGAATCCATAGTAATTTCGAATTCATTTCGTTGAAACATACCTAGGCTACTATAGATAATATTTGCTGTTACGTAATTTTTGTTCATGATTATATTAATGATGACGAAAGCTATTGGAATAAGTCATTGGAGTAACTGACACCATGCGCCTGCTTAGGTGGTGTTTTTTAACAACCTGGGATTGGGAGAAAGTTTGTGGCAATTTACGATTACAGGACAAAAACCTTCCTTTCCTTAAGGCGTTTCTCATTCGTGTGAATTGCCACAAGAATACTTCTGATCGTATTTCAAGGACAAATGAAGTTAGGCTTAAGTTATTTAGACTAAAAATATTTAAAGGAAGTAAAATCTGGGTGTGAACTAAGACGTGCATCTCCCATCCAAAGGTTTTTTTATAAATCGAAGGATTGCTGTGCCTTGGTCGGAGACTTTCCGTAGTATTTTCTCTTTTTATTGAACCTTTGCTACTCACTTCATTGCAATCTACTTATTTTTTTGTAAGCACATTTATTTTTCTACAGCGCGACACACCTACTCTACATAACCTGTACATTGCCCTCTCCCTCCAAACAATTGCACATCTTTATGGCCTTTATCATACATCATTACGGAAACATATCTTCTTCGCCGGCGGTCAGTACGCAGACCTTCGACAATACAAACATCATAAATTATTATATATCATTGTGCGTTTCTACAAGTTGCGTACACGTTCTCTTACGTGATTTAATTCTTTTAACGTCAATTTCATTATTATTAACACATTCATATTGTCATGTCCGTCGGCACTGTCATTTTTATTCGTTTATTGTCCCAAAGTTCTTTATACTTTTTTACATACTTTACGTAACTTGTTTTGCGATGTTAAGGTATTGTTAACGGCATTTGCCAAAGTTTAAGGTGTTTGGCTTTAGTTTGTATAACTAATAAGCTGCAAAGAAAGCAGAAGGTAGCAGTTTTCAAAATAAAATCATGCCTTTGTTTAAAGCAAAGCACGTGTCGCATTTGGCCAGGCCAGCCTTTTGAAGCCTCGCCTTAGTAAGCAAAAGTAAACTACTTAACGAAAGTATTGCTTCTACGAAAAATTCTTTCTTTTTTAATTTAATTAATCAATCAGTGATGGTCTGCTTATAGAAGAGTTTGAAAGAAATGAGAAAAGAGGAAGTGACTGGCCGTAGTCTAGCTAGTGCGTGCCCGATCAGTCGGTAAGTGCCACATCGTCACCGACTAAGAAAACACTATCGCCATGACCTGATCAAGTATCTTTTATCGCAGTGATAATTAAAACCGCGAAGGCTAGTGTGAGAGTCGTGACTGTTACCCACTCGCCTATTCGGTTTCAAAGAATAAAATCAAGCCAACTCAACGCCAGCTATTACCGCCCTTTACTGGCTTGTCATTATCAGTTGAAGTCTTAAATTGATTGTCATTTTCAAAAAGACGGAAAAATATGTAATGCTGGCAGCGATAAAATCAATTATTAACTCAATTGATATAAAAAATTTAAAATTTTGGAAACACTAAGAAGTAAGATTTAAAAGCAGGGAAACCTAAGATTTATTACGAATTTCCGATTAATTCTCAATTATGCGGCTAATAGCAGTGTTGTGTGTGTGTGCTCATTACCTTGCCTTACAAATAAATGCGGAAAATTGGAGGAATACGTAAATGGGATGAGAATTTATCTGTAGTGGATATCAAGTTCGCTTACACTAGATACTACACTAGTGTAAAATTCACTCGTTCTACTGATCACTTTTACGTATTACTTGCATTCTAATCATATTTAACGGTGAAAACGTACCTCTTTCATTAATAGCGATGAACACACTCACTTCCACCGCAAATGGAAATGTAAAATCACATTCATTACGAATAAGTGGTGAAAATTGAATGCTTGTACTGCAAGTGATCCAAGCTAATTCGTTCCACTGTGAAGTTTGACCGAATTCAAATTTAATGTGGAGTGAAAGGCGTGAATACATTCCACATTGGATTTAATTATGGAAATTTTTGAAATATTATTTATTGGCTTAATTATTCGCTTTTGCAAAGGATATCAGATATGGGAATAAAATCGAAGGACGCTTTCGAAATTTTTATTGTGATGAAAGAATTGACGATATATATATAAATATGCATGTACATTTATAACATATATATATATGTAAAGATTAACAGTAAAATTTGTTTGTTTGTGTGTAAATTTAAAAACTTTATTGAGCATAAAGTTTTTCTTTTTTTCTTTTTTTTTTTTTTTTTTATATATATATTTCAATATTTTATAAAATCATTGAGCAGCAGTTGAAACTTTTTTAGAATTTTATACATGAATTTTATACGTGAACGTAAACTTCCATACACACACACACACACATACACACACAAACACACAAACACGTTTATATTGAAAATATGCATAAATACAGATTAAAATGTACAAATTATTGACTTGTTTATTATAATTCTCTGTTTTTTCGAAACATTTTTGTATAATTAATGAAACATTTCTCATATAATTTAATCATAAGATATGATATGAAAAGAAAAGAGGAGCAAAAAAAAAAAAAAAACAAAATGCTTTTTTAAACACGAAAGTTTTATTTAAAATTTTTATATAAAGCTTAATATGTAAACCTTAATAATTTTTGCATATTTAAATATTTTATTCTTCTTTTAAACACACATTGCTGCATTGCATATGCATGTATGAATGTATATGCATGTACATACTTAAAAATTATATTTAATCAAAAACAAAAGGCAAACGATAAAAAGCGTAATCATTACTTTACAGAAACATATGTATGAAAAGAATCTTTTCGCATATAAGCATCTACCGTTACAAACACCTGTATATTTCGCAGGTTTGGTGTGTTTGTCTTCATCATCCATTTAAATGATCACGTTGTGCATTCGCACTCACGTGATTATATTTGCATTTCCCTTATATTTATATAGGCACCGGTACAATCATGTTTATACGTATACGTACATACGTATATATATCTACATATGAGTACATTGCCTGCTTCAAAATGGAGTATGGTCATGAGAATGACGACGTAATGAGCAGCAGCAGCAGCAGCAGCAGCAGCAGCAGCATGCGAGAATGTGTAATGTCAATATCTTTCAGCAAAGGCTGCTACAACAGAGTGTAGGACATCAAATTTGAGAGATTGGCAAGCAGGCAGTAGTCAGAATATTTATAAATTGCTGAGTTTTCCTTACCCCACTCAGTATAAATCACTGTATAATTTTTATATCCAGTGCCAACAAAAAGCAAGTACACCAACACCAACTGTTTCGTCATTGCGCATAAAAGTACCTTAAAGCCCATTTACCTATGTCTTCCCTTTAGCTTGGTTAATAGGAATTTTTTCAATCAAATTCTTGCTATTTACTCTAAATTCAGTTAAAAAAGAAAAAGAAGAAAACAAAATTAGACGATACCTCCTTTTTAACGGCCGCGTCCACAATACTTAGACTAATGTAATATGTTCGAAGGCAATGAAATCAATAATTTAAGAATTACGACTAAGAAAATCTGAATTTCGAGGCGATTATATACCGTGATACCGATTAGATTCATAACTTGAACCCATTGGTCACAAAAATTCACCAGACGGTTATGGAAAATTTCATCTATATAGTCACTGTCACTGTTAAGTTTTATATTACAACGATATACGGTTACAAAAATATGTACTCTTATGCATATATATATATATATGTTATATTCATTCAATGAGCAAAAAAGTGAACATATGTTTTTTTTCTTAATTAACAACATTTTCGATAATAAAAAAAAAATATTATTCTTTAGTTAAAAAACATATACATCTATATATATATATATGTATACATTCATTCTTCAACTAAAGAAAACAATTCTCGAGATGTGTATTCTATAATAACAGAAAGTTTAATTGCTTTATGTTTGCTTTACCTGAAACATTCATTTCTCATAGCTCTTGCTAGACATGAGATTTTGTCTGCTTTTCTGCAAATTATTTGAATATATATTCTCTCTCTCTCTCTTATTTCGTAAACATTTAGCCTTAACTTTAACATATATAAACATATATATATATTCGAGACTATAAAAGAACAAAATTGTTTACACTTCGACGAAGTGACATAAACTGAATGGCAAACTTGCTTATAATACTTTTATGTAGATATGGGTTACCTACCATCTTCGACTACACTTAGGCGATTCTTATAACCCCATCATTCGAGAGACAGTGAGAACCTATTCAACGTACGAATATATTGTCACGTAATGCGCTACACTTCCATATATGCTTCTTTGCCAGAGAACGATAAATGCTGCTTCTTATCTATCAAAAATATATGACTTCCGTGCTGCTATTAAATGGAAAGAAAGCTACCTTCAAAGAAAGAAAAAGTGGACACTTAATAGTCATTGAGAGAATTGGTAGCTTTTACTACGAGAGCCATCTATTGCTTATGCATGCGTTATGTTT